CAAGATCTAGGTTCAAGGAGATCAAACAAAGTCATCAATGACGGTTCAACATTGTCAACTAAAAGTTTGGTCCATTCTCATGATGAGATAATGTTCAGTACCAAGGATAAAGCATTAAGGCTTTTTAATGATTTCTAAATTTGATACGCGGTATATCAAATAGTGTATCTATGGTATGACACGTTTAGGAATCACCTATGTAAGTGTGAAGTGTTAGCCGCTTCAAGGAGAATTTTGTAAGGCCAATTCTCTACGCACTTATTAAACCAGGCGGTGTTCATGGCTGAAACGAACACAACAATGAGAGCCAAAGACGGTTAAGGGTTGGTTATGTGACTTATGGTTCTCTAGGTATACACCAAAGTTCGACTGTTCAAAGATATTAAATCTACCGATTGACCGAGTATATCTGACATAAGTTCACTACGGAAAGTTCAAAGGGAAACCTACTTATCCTAATACAATTAATCCTTGCTTGCGAATCACACAGTTTTTCATGCATATTTCCGTGATATAGCCATTCCCCATTCATGTGGGCGATTGTTGGGTTTTTTAAGCTTAAATGTAGCTTAAAAGAGGGTGAATGGGAAATGAAGGGAAATTGAAAATATTTGAGTTTTTCTCCTTGACAAAGGGATATTGTCCCATATTGGAAGAGGAAAAGATTTTGATGGGTATATATACAATCGCACTTCCTCTAGCTCTTAAAGAGTTAAGAAGAAGGCAAGCCTCGCGCCGTCGTCGTCGCTCGCTCGGCTCGGCTCTGCTACGGCTTCGGCTTCGGCTTCGAATTCGGATTCAGATTTGGATTGATTGATTAATTTTTTGGACCAAATTTATTTGTTAATAGTAAATATTAATAGAATTGTTATTAAATATCCAATTTTTTGTAAACGGAATATTAATATTAAATCCAAACGTAATAGTATATGCCCTTCGCTTTTTGTAAAAGACATTTACAAAACAGTTTGCACCTCTTCAGATTTGAAGAACAGTTTGCACCTCTTCAAATCTGAAGAGTTGAAGAATAGTTTGCACCTCTTCAGATTTGAAGAAATAGTTGGCACCTCTTCAGATTTAAAGAGTTGCACCTCTTCTGTTTGAGCTCAACATTGGCTATAAATACCAGTCCATTCTCTTAGATTTTCCATACGAATTTCTGACTTCTCCTCCTTTCTTCTGCATTGTTTTAACTACAAACAAAACATCAGTAAGTGTGATTTACTACCGATCTTTGTGTTCCCTGAAAAATTGGTGTTTGAAGTATCGCTACACCAGTGTGTTATTCGTTCTATCCTGGGAGGAAATAATCCACAACCTTGGGTACTAGGAGGGGATTAAATTCCTTAAGGAAACACTGTGAATTCAGTGGGCTCGGATTAAATTCTGTTTCTTTTACATTTATGTTATTTTATCTTCTCTATAATTATTTTACAAATACAGCTAAACAACAAGCTTCTTAACTCTTTAAGAGCTAGAATAAGTGCAATTGAATATATACCCATCAAAATCTTTTCCTCTTCTAATATAGAACAATATCCCTTTGTCAAGGAGGGAAACTCAAATATTTTCAATCCCTTTGTCAAGGAGGGAAACTCAAATATTTTCAATTTCCTTCCATTTTCCATTCACCCTCTTTTAAGCTATATTTAAGCTTAAAAAACCCAATAATTCAATATGGATTCTATTTCACTATTGACTGCCTCTTTCCAAAACAATGATTCCGAAGAAGTCATAGCTTCTTTAAATGTTTGAGGCTCATTCTCCAATAAGAAAGTCACAAAATCTGGTCCAAATGAAGTAGACGTTCTTTGACGTTTACTACGTCTTGGATCCTCCTGATTAAATATACTTTCTTTTGTTTCTTCCCGAGGTCGTTTAGATCCTTCACCAATCGACTCACATTCCTTGTTATACGGGTATATATTTTCAAAGAATTCAGCATTATCTGATTCTATAACCGTATTATTATGAATATTGGGATTTTCTGATTTATGAACCAGAAATCGATATGCTTTACTATTGGTCGCATATCCTATAAAAATACAATCAACTATTTTCAGTCCTATTTTTACTCTTTTGGGTTTAGGAATTTGTACTTTTTCCAAACACCCCCACACTTTAAAATAATGCAAGTTGGGTTTCCTTCCTTTCCATTTTTCATATGGAATGGATTGTGTTTTGCTATGGGGTACTCGATTTAGTGTCCGGTTAGCCGTAAGAACGGCTTCCCCCTACAAGTTCTGTGGAAAACCAGAACTTATCAACAATGTGTTCATCATCTCCTTTAATGAACGATTCTTTCTTTCCGCAATCCCATTGGATTGGGGAGCATAAGGGGCAGTTGTTTGATGAATTATTCTATATTCTAGACATATTTCTTCAAAAGGAGAATCATATTCGCCACCCCTATCACTTCTTATCATTTTAATTTTCTTGTTAAGTTGCGTTTCAACTTTATTTTTGTATTACCTGAATGCATCTATTGCTTCATCTTTACTATTAAGTAAGTAAACATAGCNACATATTTCTTCAAAAGGAGATTCATATTCACCACCCCTATCACTTCTTATCATTTTTACTTTCTTGTTAAGTTGCGTTTCAACTTCATTTTTGTATTGCCTGAATGCGTCTATTGCTTCATCTTTACTATTAAGTAAGTAAACATAGCAATATCGAGTACTGTCGTCAATAAAAGTTATGAAATACTTCTTTCCACCGCGAGATGGTATTGACTTCATGTCGCAAATATCTGTGTGAATTAAGTCTAAAGGATTTGAATTCCTTTCAATGACTTATAGGGATGTTTAACATACTTAGATTCCACACATATTTGATATTTTGATTTGTCGCATTCAAATATAGGCAATACTTCCATATTAATCATTTTTCGCAAGGTTTTATAATTGACATGACCCAAACGTATATGCCATAATTTATTTGACTCCAGTAAGTAAGAAGAAGCTGAAATTTTATTATTATTCTCAATAACCATTACATTCAGCTTGAAAAGGCCCTCAGTGAGGTAACCTTTTCCTACAAACATTTCATTCTTACTTATTACAACCTTATTGGATACAAAGACACACTCAAACCTATTCTTAACAAGAAGTCCAGTAGAGACTAAGTTCTTTCTAATCTCAGGAACATGAAGGGCGTTGTTCAAGGTCACCACCTTACCAGAAGTCATTTTCATAAATATCTTTCCAGATCGTTCAATTTTTGCCGTTGCAGAATTTTCTATAGAAAGCGTCTCTTCGGCTCCAACAAGAGCATATGTAGCAAATGCTTCTCTAACAGCACAAACATGGCGAGTGGCTCCAGAATCAATCCACCACTCTTTAGGATTTCCTACCAGGTTGCATTCAGAAAGCATGGCACACAAGTCATCGATATCTTCGTGCTTTTCAACCATGTTTGCTTGACCCTTCTTCTTGTCTTTCTTTGGAGTACGGCAATCTGCAGATCTGTGTCCAGCTTTTCCACAGTTATAGCAATTTCCGTTGAACCGCTTCTTGCTTGGGTTGCTTTTCGGTCCATAAGCCTTTTTTCTCTTTCTATCCTCAATAATGTTTGCTCCCATTATTGTTGAGTTTCCACGTCCTTTCTTTTCAGCAGCTTTATTGTCCTCTTCGATTCTCAACCGAATAATGAGATCTTCAAGGGACATCTCCTTTCATTTGTGTTTCAAGTAGTTTTTGAAGTCCTTCCACAAAGGAGGCAACTTTTCAATCATTCCTGCAACTTGGAACGCTTCATTGATGACAAGACCTTCAATGAAAATTTTGTTAATAGAAATAATATAATTAATACTTTCAACATTAGTATTAATTTGACTTATACCTTTAGCAAGGAGATCGTGAATAATCACTTGCAATTCTTGGACTTGGGTAATAACAGACTTGCTATCTACCATTTTATAGTCCAAAAATTTAGCGGCAACGAATTTCTTTAAGCCGACATCTTCCGTTTTGTATTTCCTTTCAAGCGCTATCCACAGTTGTTTTGACGTCTCCATATTACTATAGACGTTATACAGATTATTCTCTAGTCCACTAAGAATGTAATTCTTGTATAAAAAATCAGAATGCTTCCACGACTCAGTCACGAGAAAGCGTTCATTTTCTGGAGTTTCGTCGGGCAGAACATGAACATCTTCCTTAATGAACTTCTGCAGACTTAAAGTCGTCAAGTAGAAGAAAATCTTTTGCTGCCAGCGCTTGAAGTCAATCCCGAAAAATTTTCCGGATTTTTCTGTTGGTGCCAATGCCGGTGTTGTTCGGCTTGTCGATGCATTGGCAGTTACCATAGGAACAGTCTTGTTCCCGTTGTCATTCGTCATTTCTGTAAAAGAATGACACAAACAAATGTTAAAATCACGTAGATTTTAATTTCCACTGGAGTAGAAAACCACACAGGTTTTAGTCTCCAGAAACAGTGAATATAACACAAATACAGAAAATATTAAATTTCTTAAGCTTGTTGTTTAGCTGTATTTGTAAAATAATTATGGAGAAGATAAAATAACATAAATGTAAAAGAAACAGAATTTAATCCGAGCCCACTGAATTCACAGTGTTTCCTTAAGAAATTTAATCCCCTCCTAGTACCGAAGGTTGTGGATTATTTCCTCCCAGGATAGAACCTACACACTGGTGTAGCGATACTTCAAACACCAATGTTTCAGCGAACACAAAGATCGGTAGCAAATCAAACTTACTGATGTTTTGTTTGTAGTTAAAATAATGCAGAAGAAAGGAGGAGAAGTCAGAAATTCGTATGGAAAATCTGAGAGAATAGACTGGTATTTATAGCCAATGTTGAGCTCAAACTGAAGAGGTGCAACTCTTCAAATCCGAAGAGGTGCCAACTGTTTCTTCAAATCTAAAGAGGTACAGACTGTTCTTCAACTCTTCAGATTTGAAGAGGTGCAAACTGTTCTTCAAATCTGAAGAGGTGCAAACTGTTTTGTAAATGTCTTTTACAAAAAGCGAAGGGCATATACTATTACGTTTGGATTTAATATTAATACCGTTTACAAAAAATCGGATATTTAATAACAATTCTGTTAATATTTACTATTAACAAATAAATTTGGTCCAAAAAATTAATCAATCGATCGATCATTTGACAAAATCCAAATCCAAATCTGAAGCCGAAGCCGAAGCCGTAGCTGAAGCCGAGTCGAGCGAGCGAGCGACGACGACGGCGCGATTCCAAGAAAGCATCAATATCCGGTTATTTTATAATGGTTTATAGTCCATTGTAACCGGAGATTATGTAAATGCCAAAATGTCCCCATATATTTTGTAGTAGAGAGCTGAATAACTACATATGAAATTGTTTAATATAAATTTCCACGCTTATGCTTGATCTAAATCTGGACCGAGGATGCATGATCTTATTCTAATCACGTTTAAGAATGAAAAATTTATATCAAATATATCTACTATCATCAATTACTTACTAGGAAAACAAAAGCAAGACCAATCTGACAGGTATTATGCTGATGTCTTTGATTATCAGCAAAGTTATACTCACAGATATAGAATGTCACCAACTATCTATCAAAGTTTATAGTCAGGTACATGTGAAAAATATTGCAGGAGACTTAAGGGTGAAGAACTTTCAGGTATGAGAATCAGCGATCTCCACGCTCTGGAAAACCAACTGGAAATGAGATTGAACAATATCCGCACAAAAAAGGCAAGAAAATCTCTTCCTTATCCAATTTTTATATGGCATAACATATAATTTAACTAATGACATCAGTGTTCAATATTTCACGAGCTTTCACGTTTCTGCAGGAAAAAATGCTAACTGACGAGATAGAAGAATTAAATCAAAAGGTTTTTTAATCACAGTATATAAATTTGACTCTAATTAGGAGCTGATTTGCACTTGTTCTAATTACCTACCACCTCTAATTAATATCCTGCAGAGAGCTCTTATTCATCATGAAAATATAGAACTGTCTAAGAAGGTCACTCTCGTCCAACATGAAAATAGACAACTTCATAAGAAGGTACAGATTTCTGTTATAAACTCAGAAAACAGAGATAAATACTGAGTAGTTTTTTTTCTTTTCTCAGGGTTATGGAGCAATTGACATTAGAAAAGAAGAGGGAAGTTTCAGTGGACAAGCGAAATACACGAAATTAGATTGGGGTAATATTCTTTGAGATTCTTCAACTTGTACAGAAACCTTTGATATAGCAATCTCACAGAATAATTTAAATTTGTTGATTGAAACTTATCAGGTTACAACTGCAATAATTCTGATCAAGTCTAGCAGAAAGCATGGCCAAAGTTAAGGCCTTGCAAATACCACACTAGCGAGAGTAAGGATAGTTTAGTATCCAAAAAGTCGTGTAGCAGTTTCACCTCCATTTTGTCGCGTGAAAGCAAAGTGAAAATGTAAATTAGCTTATACGTGGCTTTTTGTTTCAGCAACTAATTCTCACATGCTTATATACAATGGCGTGTATTTTTTTTTTTTTTTTTTTTGGG